ATTTTAATAAGAGTTCAGATAACTTCAATTCTATTTGGGCGGTCCATGTGGAATTTGTGGTGGACAGAATGACACTGGGGCAGGTTTTTCTTGGAGTTCTTTGGGGGGAAACTGTCAATATCATATCACCACTGCTCCATGTTCACTCATACATCATCTGGTGGCTGGTCAGTGGGCCCTTTAGCAGCCACAGTTCCATCAAGACATAATCTCTTTCATTCACAATACTGTGTGAATTTTGGCATAAAACAAATTAATTTTTTTCAAAATTTTGTGTGAAATATGTTCAAGAATATTTTGCCATAAAGAGGTATGTGATAACATTGGAATGGGTAAGATTACATTATAGTTTTCATAATAAGCATTATTCTCTGAGTATTGTTAGACTGATTAAATTTTCAGAGATGAGTTAATTGGAACACTGCACACATGTGAGAAACAAGAAGTATGTGCAAAATTTGGTTGTAAAATCTTATAGGAAGAGACTGCTTGTGAGAACGCACATGTGTATGCATGTATGAGGGACACAGATAATCATGTAATAATGGATTCAGAGAAATAGGTTGTGTATGTGAAAAGTGAATTGAACTCAACCCAGTGACACAATTTAGTAAATCCTGATTAACTGAAAAACTATTGACATTTGTTGGTTTTTATTTATTTTTTAAGTGTTCAAGAATTGAAATCATTCACAAATTGATCAGAATATTGCTGTCATAGGTACACACTGCAGGCATCAACGTTCCAGATGGCAGTGTTGCTGCAGTTCAATGTGTCAGACAGCTGGACAGTTCAACAACTGCATGAGTCAACACAGATCAAAGTAGACTTCCTTGTGCAAGTACTGCAGATCCTGTTGAAAGCCAAGTTGCTTCAAAGTGATGATGATGAGAATGAACTGCACTCCAACTCGTCCATTGCACTCTTCACAGGCTATAAGAAGTATGTAGGCAACTCTCAGTGTGATGGTTCTCAACCAGTACAGCTTGCGTCTTTCCTCATTATTATGGCTGTTTTATAAATTATAGCCGTAAAAACATTAGGATAAGTGTTGCTAAAAGAATACGTTATCAAGAAATGAACTAGAGAATTGAGAATATGTAGCATTCTGAATTCCATTTCCGGTCAATTTGAATTGCTGTATGTTCTGGCAAGAAGGTTCAGGGGCGGCTCTCATATTTTCTTTGCTTTTTATGGATTCCTTTGCAACTTTAATGCTTTTTTATTTGTTTCTTTCCTTTGTTGTTGATCCCCTGTGATTCTTGCTTCCCATGATCCCAAATGTTACTTGTTTATATCCCTGTGTGTTTTGTTATGTGGCAGTCCTCTTCCTCTCCTAGGATTACAATTGGTATTATTTTCAGTGTCCCATGTGCAGGAAAGATTTGTTGTCACCATTATGCTGTATACAGTTGTTCATACAAATTCCACCTTACCTATATTTAGGAGATGGTATGGGTCTTTGTGCCAAAAAGTCCGGTAGACGTTTACCAGCGCTTCAGAGATGCTTGCTTCCTTCATCAGCTGGGCATTGCCCTGTTCATGGAAGCAGTAAGCATCTGTGAAATATCAGTAAATATCTGCCAGACTACACAGTGCTGCAAACAAGAAGACTGCTGTCTTCGTACTTCCCAGCATGAGAACCTCAAATGTCACATGGTATGAATTGTTTTGACTGCATTAACCTGTCACATTGCAGCAAAAAGTTGCGTGTCAACATCAACATCCCGATGAAGACAGAACTTAAAGTGGAGCAGGAGACAACCCATAAGCACATAGAGGAAGACCGCAAGCTGCTGATCCAGGCAGCTATAGTGCGCATCATGAAAATGAGGAAGGTGCTAAAACACCAGCAGCTGGTTGCAGAGGTGCTGAACCAGCTCTCATCCCGCTTCAAGCCTCGTGTTCACGTCATTAAGGTGTGTTTTCCTAATAGGTTACAGGTTGCAGTTACATTGTTGTATTCAGTTCTGAATTATGGAAGCTGAATAGGGGTTACATTCAACTTTTCTTTGATGAGAATCATTAAATTATTTATACAATAATAACACAAGGTGCAGATTATGTTTGTTACAATTATCAGACACATGAAATCTTATTTTTTTCATAGCCAAAGTACATGTCCAATCAAACAAATACAGAAAATTTCTGCATTTGATATGTTCTTCGGGTGACCCATTTTCCGCCAGATCCTCTGAACAAGTGGTGGTGCATAGTTTAAACCACAGGACATAAATCCTTGAGAAAAGTATTACCAGTAAGTCCTGGGATGATTTAAAGTGCCCAAATCTACTACAGTGAAACCTCTATCCATCGTTCCCGGAACTATCGTTTTCCCGGATGCATCGTCCGTTTTGTTCGGTCCCGAATACATCCCATATAAAATAATGTTAGATTTTCCCGCTTCTATCGTTCCTCGAACTATCGTTTTATCGCATCGATCGTTCAAAAATCTTAGTCCCGGCCCACAGTTTTCCCGCAATGATCGTTTCTGAGAATTTAAAATGCTGGGTTTAGAGATAAATTAATACCGAAAGACGCACAATGTTTTTGGAATACACAGTAGCGGTAACCTGTTATGTTGCCCAACCAGCACATTCTTTTGGAATGAGGGTCAGTGGTGCAGGGGTGATAGTTGGAGAGAATGGCGGCGCGCATTGTCAGAAATTTTACGATTTTAATTAGGGTGCACTCATATTTCGTTCCAGCGATGCCAGATGGCATGTGCAGTGTGAATTTCTTCACAAATGCTTTTATTACAAGTACAAAGGAAAGGCTGGCTCTTTTATGCGCTTAATATTAGTGAACGTGACGAAGAAAACATTTTGAACGTGGAAAGTGCTCTGTTTGGTCTAAAACGTAAAGTTTCAACAAACCAGTTGTCCATTAAAGACTTTTTTTGGTAAAAAGAAGTAACTTTGAAAGAGAAACATTGTTTTTTTTTTAAATTTTTAATGCTTTCCCGCATCTATCGTTTTCCCGCATTCATCGTTTTTATTTCCCACCCCCGCCGAAAACGATGCATCGAGGTTTCACTGTATTGTCTGCAGACTTCATATGACATGTGGGGGGCGGGGTGCAGTATGCGACAGTGAAGGTTGTACAATGGCTGCTGCCACGATCTGGTTCTTCTGTTTCAGAAATGTATTGACATCCTGATCGAAAAGGAGTACCTGGAAAGGACTGAGGGCCAAAAGGACACATATAGCTACTTAGCATGATTACATAGCGACAGGAACAAACAAACGAAAGAGGGCGGGCAGGGTCAGCACTATCCACGCTAAAGTTCTACATAGAAAAAATAAATTGTAAATGTCAAAATAAAAGTAATTTAAAAAGGAATTAAAAATAGAACTTTAATTTATCATTGAAAATTAAAACTTCCCATTCAATGTGAAAAACTTAAGGCATCACCATCAAAGTAGAGTCCTTTCCCTCAGGTGATTATTTTTTAAATATTTGGCACTTACTTACTCTTTCATAAAAATTGGGTGGTGGGAGAAAGTTAATTGCAAATTCCCCAAACCACTCCTTATTCTTAACGATGTGAATAAATCAGAACTAAAGGGGGTAATGTGTCAGTTCCTTCTCTGCAGTTTTGCAAGTGTGGGCCATATACAAGAGTGAAAACAGAAGCAGTGATTTGTAATTTATTTTCTTGTGTCTTGGTTATTTGCTCTTATTATCATTATTTTCCTCTGGTACTTGTTCACTGGTGCTGCACAGTGTGTATTGGTGATACTGAACACAAGATAGGACAGTGTGTGACTACTATCTCCTTTTCAGTTCTATCTCATCACCCTTCAGTCCCTACTTACATTTTTCTTTCTTTTGCAACATAAGGTTTTTTCTAACAGTTTTACTTACCAAAGGAACTTGTGACAGAACGGAAAACAGTGTGTATCAAGCGTTGAGGACTTAACTACATCAGAATGTGGAAAAACTGGCAGAGATATTGATTAATGTATGGATGTTTTGTGGTGTGATTGTATTAAGGATCTGTTTTTCTGTTAAATATTGCAAAGCTTTTTATCAACAATTTTTGATCTTGTAATTTTCCTGTTCCTTCTCAAGCTTTCATCAACATTCCTTTATATGCTTTTAAAACCCTAAGAAATGCCTATATTGTTCCATTCAGCAGTTTATCTTCAAATGGGTTTTTAATGTATTATCACAGGATACTCATAGCATTAGGAACTTTATAACTTTGAATTACTACCCCTTATTTTCTTCATTTCTAGCAATAATTTGAGCAGATCACTGAGAAATGGCACTGCTAGCAGTTTTTATAATTCTTTGTTTTATTCATCATAGTGCCTTTACTTAGTAGGTTTTTGAGAGTAGTTTTGATTAGAGATTCGATACACACTGCATTCTATTGGCTTGTTATTTTCACATTACTACTGCTACTACCTGGTGATTATGTAAAGCAACTGACTAATAATGAAGTGGAAGGCATTTGTGTTTGATGAGTCTGGCAGTGTTATTTCCATGTCCGAAATGACAGGCTCAGAGAGGTTCACTGATGTGCAGTGTGTCTGTAAAATAATGGTGGGGTAACAAACAGTCATAGTTTTGGAACAAAGCACGATAGAGACATGTAATAAACGTCAAAATAAAGAGAAACTGTCCAATAATCTTTTCTGTTCAGTAGATTTTGATATGCGCTCCTTTAGTTGCCCTGCAGACATCAAGACGATATTCAAGCTCTTGCCATACATGACCGAGAACATCCTGTGTGATAGATGAAACAGCTTCAGCGATCCGTTCTTTC